AAAAAAAAAATCAAGCGTTAGCAAAAATGGCAAGTCTATCCGCAGGTTCCGTTCTTTTTGATTCATAAAAAAAGGCCCACTTTTTTGATAATATCCCATATGATTTAACCTAATAAAAAAGTGGGCCTTTTTTTATGAATCAAAAAGAATGGACCTTGTGAATCAAAAAGGGCAAAAATGGATTCTAAAAATATTTCAGTATTTAATAACGATAAATGCGTTTTAATTTTTTTTTTTTTTTTTTAGAAAATCCATTTATACCCAAGGGTACATCCGTATATGTATGATCTTCCCACTAAAGAATCCTAATTATTAGATTTTATATCAATAGTAAATCATTGAACTAGCTTGAATAATACTCGGGGACACTGCGTGAGAGGGGTACTGTGCAAGAAAGAAATGCAATAGATTTAATAATGACTTATATAATGGCTCTGTTCTGATCTGTACGAAGAATCGTCTTAGCTTAATTCTTTAATCAACACTATCCGTGAGCCGAGCCGAGCTTGTTTAGACCTTTGCCACTGGGTACACGTACGTACGCACATATCCACAATTTAACTGGTCAGTCACGTAGATCGTGAAATAACTGCGGAGGGTTACGGCTTAATAAAATTATAAATTTTTACAAGACACGCTTTGGTCGTGTATGAAATTTGCTATACCATAAATACTTGCAAAGCACATGCTTTTATATTAATTATATTAATTTTCTGATGAGCTATTGTCTCGAAAAAAAGAATACGAGTGCTAATTCCTTGCACTTAAGCGTGCCCTTGGTGGTCGTAGATTGTTGTTGGAATGGCTTTGGAGTACATGTCTGGTGCAACGATCACCAACACGCTATTACAACGACGGACAATTTTGTGAATCTTACTTGCGCGAACGAACATATTATCCGAATGCAAATAGATAAAGGCATTGATAAAATCGAGTTTCAAATCCAATCCGAATCCAACCTTGCGATGTTACAGATTCGTGCAAGAACTCAAGTTATTATACGTGATAAAAATCATTCGTCTCCCCCTCCACCATACTGTGAACAAATGTCTATTTTATGTGTTACACGTGATTTAGATGCTTTCAAGGTAAAGAAATATCCGTGTGATTAAAGGTTTTCAATAATTCCTAAATTTATTTATTATAATTTTTGTCTTCTTTATATATCAAGGAATTTATGAGTCATTTTAAAAATTCGGAAAATAGTGTCGCGAAAAAGCCAATGGATGACGAGAAATTTAAAAGTTTAATTGAAAAATATTTTGACTCTGATTTGAACGTGCTTCCACCTGGAATGATTAAAAATCCGCTGTTGAAAGCACAATTGTTGAGTCGAAATACATCTCCGCAAATTTCTAGATATGGAAAGGGAAAGGAAATATGTAGAAATACCTCAATATCATCTTCAATATCATCATCAATATCATCTTCAACATCTCCTTCAACCAGTTCAACAAACGCTACTTCACCGCCTTCAAGTACGAATTCAAATTACTTAAGTAATTCAACGGGTACGGGAGTTGCAAAGTCAAGGACAAAGTCATTCCACATTTATAAAGTCTATCAATGAAGTTATTAACATTGATCAATCACATTGTCTTAAACGTACTAAAACGTCTACAAATTTCCAGATGATGAAGTTATCGTTGTGAAAAGAAGAAACAGTTTAAATCGTAAGAGATCTGGTTCATCGGATTTGACAAACGGGACCGAAGTGGATCGTGAGCCGAATACTGATTTTTCCGCAAGATTCAATGGAAATCGTCTTAGGAAAAAATATAAATCTTCAACAGACATTGTGACGTATTCAAGCCGTAGGTCTAGTTATAATTCCAAATCATCAAAAACTTTCGATGACGAGTTTATAATTTCTCCAAGCAAAAGGCGTAGTAGTTTAATTTCAACTCAAACTCGTCAAAGGATGGACTCGTCTTTGGATCAGGTGGAACGTTTTAGGAGGAGATTTAGGTCCTCAACTAATTTGAGTAATAGTAAAGAAGTATCTCCTACATGTATACAAGAAAGTGCCAGTACATCGTCAAAGTACGGGGATCCTGATGTAGTAGTACTTGACAGCCCTGATAGAGGATCAAGAGCTCCATCTGAAATTTTTACATCAGAATCTGTGTCTGGTGTTTCACAGAGCCTTATTAGACGAGACCCAAACAGGTAATTTTAATCGTTTTAATCGTTTTACAATTTATTTGCAAATATAATAAACCTCTTTTTAACGCAACTTTTCATTTTCTCTTTAGCAAGTTATTTGATTACTCTTGTACTGGTTATTCATCAATTCTAATTACAGGATCGGATTACAATCGTTTAGTAGACATGGACGAATTGAATGACAATCTCATCGTATTTTATATGAGGTATTATATACAATATATAATATTCAATTATTTTTTTTCTTTTAGTGTTATTTATGAACATTATATTATGTCTTGATTTTAACATAGATACGTTCTGAATCAGCTTCGTGAACGCGATGAAGCTAGCGCGAAGAAGTATTATTTATTCGATTCATACTTTTATAAAAAATTGTCTGACCTTCGCGATGAAAGGTAAATGTTTGTGATATATACTGTATTATTTTATATTCATAGATTGATATTGGTGTTATCATTAATAGAAAATTTCTTTGTAGGAAGGACCCAAATGAAATTTATAATCAGATGTCAAGATGGATAAAGAAAAAGAAAATCGATCTCTTCGATTTCCAATATATATTTGTTCCGATCTGTGAAAAGCAAGCATTTCAAATTTATTTTGTCTTAATCATTTTGCAATGGTTATAAATATAATTAACATGGTTTTTTTTTTTCTTAGCGGGCATTGGTACTTGGTTTTAATAATTAATCCAGCCTCGCTAAGAACTAATAGAACTACAGATTGCCATATCGCAATATTTGACTCTATTGCTGAGAATTTTAAGCACAACCGTACAGTGCAACTTATTACAAACTTTCTGTTTGAGTACACACGGGACACTAGAAAGGTGACCATTGAACGGACATCAAAGATTCCTTGTTCGTTGGTAAATTCACCCAAACAAAGAAATAATGTTGATTGTGGCATATACGTACTTCATTTTGCCGAAACGTTCATGTGGAACTCTGAAACCCTCAAACGGCAAATTATCAGGGTCAGGACGGATGAGAATTCGTGGGATCCATACAACCTGCCTGACAAGCGCAATTCGATTTTGGGTATAATCGATAGTTTAGCAGATCAATAACTATTCTTACTCAACAAAAGTTCTTTGTTGCATATTTAAATAACCCATTTAGTGGTAAAGTTCATTATTAATCTAATCTGTAATAAATTGAATTATGTGCAACCTGATATGCCTAATATGTCATGATCGTTAATATTAGAACTATGCGATGTTTTTTCTTTTTTTTTTTTTTTTTTGAGAAAGAAATGAGCTTTATAGATTTGAATTGCTAGTAGTATAGAACTGTGAAATTACTTTCTTAGAATTTTCTTAAAGCATTAAAGGTAGCGTTATTAAAGTAGTGTTATCAAAGTAGCGTTATTAAGGTAGCATGATCAAAATAGCATTATTTATATTATTTTATTACTATATTTTAGCAAAGTAGCATTATTGTACGTATTAGAAAGTATATAGTGTTATTATATTGAAAAGTAATATTATTATATTGGAAAGTATATATATCGCACACTTTCTTGATAAAATCAATAAAAACCCAATTTTCAAATGATATATGATTGAAATAGGAAGAAATGCCGGTCGAAATATCCATCTACAAAAAGTATAATTTAGAAAATCTCATATGAAATCTAAGACATAATAGCAACGGCATTGACAAAATAAGTTTCTGGAAAAAGTATGTTGAACGAATCTATCTAGAAGGTTCACAACATAGGCTGTGAGTCCTAGTAGGCGTTGCAAGGCCCAATTTCCAAACATCGGCTGCAGGGATCCATACGAATATGGCCCAGTCACATACAGGCGTAGGAAACTTATCATGTCCAGTATACTGGAGAGAGTATGTTGAACGAATCTATCTAGAAGGTTCACAACATAGGCTGTGAGTCCTAGTAGGCGTTGCAAGGCCCAATCTCCAAACATCGGCTGCAGGAATCCATAAATATATGGCCCAGTCACATACAGGCGTAGGTACACTGTGTGATGCCATTGCTGTTCTAATTCATACCTTTGGTTAAACGAAACAATAGTAATTTTAGATCAAAAGTGGTTTTTTCCGTTAGGACAGAATTTTAAAAATTAGCGCATTCTTATTGTCCGGAGGATTATACTGATGCATCAAAATGTAATTTTGAAAATTCCGCACGCGTGTCTATATAACAAAAATTACGTTTTTGATGCATGTCGATCGAAAATAGTTACTTTTTTGATGTATTTACATAAATTTTATGAAGATCACATCAAGAACGTAATTTGGAAATTTTTGTCTAACTATATTTATATTTTAGTGTAACGAAAACATGCATATCTACGCGTTTGTGCAATATGATGATTATCATGTGCTCCGGACACACAATGCTACGCACAATACTTTTTTCGAAAGCTTGAGTAGATTATCTAATCTTTAAAACAGGCCAAGTGTCTGTTTTCAAAAAGATGTGGAATGGGCAGATCATCATATTACGGGAAATTCGCCAAGATTGCCAAGATTTCCAGAGTTTTCAAGACCCGCTTCAATCGGTTCAATCGGTTCCTTAATTTTACTAATTGGAATTTCAAATTCTCTGATTCCCCATATGGGTATATGGAAATCGTTTTCCACATCTTTTTGAAAACAGCTGTAAGTAAACTTGAAGTTTTGTACTGTTTTTAACAATATTGTTACATTCTTCATATTATATTTCACCTACCAAAGTTATAAGTAATTAACAATCACTATGTTAGGAAAATCTCATTCGTTGAGCAAAAAAAATGTAAAAAAAAATATAAAATAAATAATGATGGTAGTGTAGAGAAAAATTAGGTTGTATTTTTTTTTATTAGATGTTTTGTATAGAAATCTTTTAGAAAAGTGAAAGTTTTTATGAATGATATTAATTAACTATACAATTTATTAATATTATTATTACAGAAGCTTTTGGAATATGATAAAAAGTTTATATAGATATATGCATAATATATATTAAAAGCGCAAAAGTTTTTTATTATATATTAGTTGTGTAAAGTAAGATAGTATAGTATAAAATTTTAGGAATCTGAGTAGATATAAAATTAAATAGAGAATTAAATATAGGATTAGTTATATACTATAGAGATGATTGAGATTTTTTTTTTGGCATTAAGGTAAGGTTTTGTTCCTATTTTTATTAATAGTTTTTAACATAGTAACTACAATGAGTTGCTAACCTTTAAATATATAAAATATAAAAAATAAAAACTATATGTAAGAATAAAAGCTTAGACTATTTTATTTGCAATTTAAATCTATTAGAGTGGTCAAAAACTCATCTAGATTAATAAGCTTCTAAGTGAAGCAAATAAAAAGAGAAAAAGAAAATATAAAGAAAATAGAATGTTTAATTTAATATGTTTAAAAAGAAAACAAATTAAAAAATAATTTTTATATTTAATAATATAGAATTATAAAGTATAAGAAAAATAATAGGTTATATAAAAGTATGTTTAAACAAACTAAAATATAAAGTAATTAATATATTTAGTTGCAAAAAGTTATAAAGTATAAAAAAGGAGCTAATTGAATATATAAAAGTATAATATTTAAATGTTAAAAAATAAAATATAAAAAGTTTTAGATAAGAAAGAAACTTTCATCAATTTCAGAAACTTTATATTTTGTACAGTACCAGACAGCAAGAAACACTCAATTTTTTTTTAAAAGCACCAAATTTTGAGATTTATACTCAAATCTAATTGGCTATTTTTTGTATAACAAGATTCTGATTGGTTAAAAATCTATAAAAACAATTTTTTTATATATTAAACACCA